GGGGGGGGCAGAGATGGAAAGCAAACTCCAGAGAGTTTGGAGGAGCCAGGGAGAGTCTTAGGCAAGTTTTTAGGGGCCAAAGAGAAAGGATGGTCATGTCTGGAGAACCCCAAGGAGCCCAAACTTGCAGAAGACGTTTGGGGAGGTCTCAGCTCAGGCTAACCAGAGGACCCTCGAAGCCTACTGGACACACATCTCCGTGTCACTCCTCTGAAAGTCACGCGCAGATGGAGAAGAGACAGGCACCTTGAGGATGTTCCTTCCATCAGCTCCTCACTCCCTCCCCCTCACGGGAGTTGTAATTACTGGAAGCACTCAAAGAATCTTGAAGACCCCAGAGTGAGAGAAGCCAAAGAGCACTGCAAACAGGCACACGCTGATCTCCCAGCATCTGGATCATTTGCTAATAAGGGAGCATCCGCCAAGAAAACGCATCCCAGACGGAGTGGGGATAGTGACAACCGTGTGGCAGGGAAGCGCTTGGGGCCTGGTGGGAGGATGTGAGAAATGGCGTGGTGAGCTGTGTCTGCAAGTCTGCAGTGTCGAGGGTCTCCTGGGGACCAGCGTGCAGCCTTGTGAGAAGAAGGAACCTGTGAGAGAGGATGAGGCCCGTGGCTCTCTGGGAGTCTGGGCGACAGTGCCCCTAAAAGCAAGGGGGTCTCCGGAGTCTTGCAGCCCGTGAGGGTGTTCTCAGCTTCCAGTGTCAGAAATCTGGAATGAAACTGCCTTCCGCAAAAAACAAGGAAACGTGTTATCTCATGTCACAGCATGTCAAGAGGGAAGAAGGATCCAGGGTGATGTCTTTGGAAATCCCCGGGCCCCTGCACCCCTGCTCTGTCACCCTTGGCATCAGCTTTATCCTCAGGCTGGAGGCAGGTGCCCTGCAGGACCAGGTGACACACTAATGTCCCCTGCAGGAATAAGGTCTGGCTCTTTTAGAGATAAGAGCTCTCCCGAGTCGCAGCCCCTCACCCAGGCTTCAGTTCCCATGTTACCGGTCACGACTGGGGCACTTTCCAGTCCCAAGTTACATATCGGCAGGGGCTGGATGACACACTCGGACTCCCCTGGGAGCTGGGACTGGATGAGCCACCCAGGAGCGCATGGCTACACAGGGGAGGGGAGGGCACCTCATCACACTGGGGGTGCTGGTAGGGTCCTCTGATTAGCCTGAGCTGAGACCTCCCCAAACATCTTCTGCAAGTTTGGGGTCTTGGGGTTCTCCAAACATGACCACCCTTTCCCCCTGGCCCCTAAAAACCTGCCTAAGACTCTCCCTGGCTGCTCCAAACTCTCTGGTAGGGAGGTTAAAGGGGGTGAGGGGCTCTAGCTAAGCGACAGTCCCCTTCACTGCCCATCTCTTCTGCCCTACGGTCTTGTTCCAACAATTCCAAGTGGCTCTTAGCTGAGGGAGACATGTGAGATGCTCAGTCGCAGCGGGAGGCAATCTGGGTGATTGGCAGAGACCCTGCCACTGTCCTCCGCAGGCCCTGACACTCTCCTGCGTGTTGAGTTTAGGCAAAAGGACAACTGCCTGGGCCTCAGTTTCTTCTTTAAAGAAGCTGGACTAGGGGACTTCTAGGGCCCCGCCTATTCAATACTGCGATGTCCAGAATCTCAGAAGGGACAGGTTAGCTAGGAGGCAAGAAAGGAGGTGGCATAGGAATTAGTTTGCAGCCACACTGAGGGTTCTAGACACCAGTGTCAGTAGGGCTGGTAAAGTCCCTTTGGGTAAATGTTTGTTGAAGCTAGGAGAATCGTAATTTCCACATGTCTGTTGGGCAAGGAAACATGAGAGGTCCATTAATAAAGCAGCCTCCCATGGCCAGGACAAGGAGTTGTAGGCTTGTTGAGAGGCATCCAGGAGGTGAGAAGAGGCCGCTGAGAATGGGAGTGGGGGGTGAAGGAGAGGGCAGGGGACGATGGGTTGGGGAGTGCAGAGTGTGCTGGGCAGCGTGCTGTTGGCACTCACCCTGATGGCACAACCCAGGTGCCCTGCTAGGTCTTCAGGTCATGGGGGCTGCAGGGCCAGGGGACAGTAAAAGGGGTCCGGCCCCTCCCTCTGCATGGGCCCCCCGTGGCCCACCCCTTTGGCTGTGCACTGCAGTTCCACACCCTGCTATTCGCTCTTCCCAGCTGCTCCCATGCCCACACTTAGAATGGCAGCTTTTCTACCAAAATTCCTAAGTGCCCAATTCCAGCGCTGCATCCTGCATGGAATATGCTCTTGATCACTCCAACTGGATAAGAAAGCGCCCTCTTCAGGTTCCCCACAGACCTTTGTGGGTTCTTCTCACCCCGTTCATTCCCGCCTTGCTTGGGTTCTCTCCCCCAGTGCCCCTTTGTCCCTCTGAGCTTGGAGTCTTGCTCATCTTTGGGCTTGGAAGTCACTGTGCTCCATACATACCCATACCATTGAGGAGTACAAAGCAGCCTGCACTGGCCCATACATCTAGGAAGACACCCTGTGGCGGGGGCTGCCGGGAGGACGTGGCCTGTGAGAAGACGGGTACGTCTGTGGGAAGAGGCTGGGTGCTGGCTTCTTGAGACAGGCTGTAGACCTCCTCCCTGGTCTGCGAACAATGGAAGTTTCTACTTCTGTGAAGCAAAGAAAGAAAAAGATATCCTCGAAACCATTTTGAACCCAAATAGGTAGTTCAAGGGTCTAACCCAGGGCAGCCTTTGCCACCACTCTCTGCCCCAGGCGGGGCTGGGGGGTGGGGGACTCCTGGACTAGGCCAAGCAGACTGTTCCAGAGACACGAGTTGAGCCAAGGGCCAAGAAGCCTTGTCTTTATTTTGTTTTGCTTCTCTCTCTTCCTCCTCCCCGTTTGTTCTTTTCTTCCTCCTTTCCTGTCCTTCCCTTACACATCCGCTCTCTGCTCCTTCTCTCCCCGGCCTCACCCGCACGGCCTCCCCGCCCTCTCCACTGCCCTCCCCCAGCTGTCCTCGGCGCTGCTGTTTGACGCCGTCTATGCTGTGGTGACCGCAGTGCAGGAGCTGAACCGGAGCCAGGAGATCGGCGTGAAGCCCCTGTCCTGCGGCTCGGCCCAGATCTGGCAGCACGGCACCAGCCTCATGAACTACCTGCGCATGGTGAGGGACGGCCGGGGCCCTGGGAGAACTGGCTCATGTCCACCCTGCCGGTCACAGCCCCAGATTCAGCAGCAATCTGCGGCGACCCCATTCCTTGACCATGGGTCCCATGTGTTCTCGTCTCCTTAAACAACCCCCTAGAGAATCCACAGCAAGATTGTTTACAAGATGGGCCCAAAAGCCTCAGGCGACTCAGGCATCAGGATGGCGGGCTTGGACCTGACCCTCGACTCGGGCAGTGTCTGCGCAGCTCCTGCCCTTGGCCGTGCCGCCCTCGACTCACTCACAGGGAGCGGCAGGCTCTGCCCTGCCTCCTCGGGTGACGTCTAGGCCACAGAGAAGATCCACTTGTCAGCAAAGCCGTCCGTGCCGGTGAAGAGGGTGGTGCATGTCCAGTCAGGTCCTCTGACTTCCTGCAGGCCTAAGGGTGGGTGAGCAGCTACCCAAAGAGAAGCCAGGCTCTTTACAACCTAGAGAAGGCAGCGGGTCAGAGCTCAAGCTGGTGTCTCAGATGGCGCTGGTGTGTGCAGCGGCTATGACGTCACTGGTAGGGGCATCCTGCTCCTTGTCCAGCCGGGCCGAGGCTGAATTGGTTCCATTGCATTTGCATTGCAAGACTTGGAGGCCGAATGGTGGCAGAGAATGGATCTTGAGGGGTCCCCTCTCGTGGGCACCCTGACCCTTGGAGCACCTGTGTGGAATGCTTGCTTGGGGCCAAGCAGAACACGGTTGGTGCTGTAACTCACTCTCTCTTGGACAGGTAGAATTGGAAGGTCTCACCGGCCACATTGAATTCAACAGCAAAGGCCAGAGGTCCAACTATGCCTTGAAAATCTTGCAGTTCACCAGGAATGGTTTTCGGCAGGTAAGCTTCTCTGTGTTCAGGTGGCAGAGCCTCCTCTTTGTTCCTTCCTGGAACCCAGCCTGCTTCTCCTAGGCTCTCATGATGCCCTCCACCGTTCCCAGGGGCAAGGCTCCTGGCTGCACCACCTCTCTTCCTGCACCAGGATCAGCCTGTGTCTCAGATTGCAGCTGGCTTGGGAGGGAGGCAGATATGCTCTATGGGGAGAGGGGAGGAGGCAGGTGTGCTCTGTGGGGGGAGGGGAAACAGTGCATGTCATGTCCTATAAAGAGGGCACTCCCTCTTGTCCACTATTCTGAATTATTCTCCAGAATCCGCTCTAACCCTGAACTGGGTTAGATCCCAAACAGCTCACTGCCAAGACATAGACCAGACCCCACGGGGCTGAGGACTCCCACAGTTCTGGGTGGAATGGACAGCCAGCTCCCCCCTCAGCTATCTTCTGCTCAACACACGCCCCCTCCTCTCCTTTCTGCTACTTGTCCACTCCCAGCAGCTCAGGCTGCTTTGTCCTTTGTAACTGTTTTCCATTTTCCCACTCTTCTCTCATTCTCCTCCATTAACCTCCTTACTCTCCTTTTCTCCGATTCTCTTACATGGGAGGGAACAAGGACCTCATAGTCCCTGTGAGGGCCTCTCTGAAGGTCTCCCAAGCTCCCCATCACACGAGTAATCAACCTTCTATTCTTAGTCTAGCCCTTCTGCAACCTTAGCAAAGCCTGAGAAATAGGAAGCGATGCACTAATTACAGCAGGAAACAGACATCTTGAAGAGCCTCCTGACTGTCAGAGGGGCTGAACAAGGGAATGCACCACCGAGGGGCTGCACAATCACCTTCCCAGGAGGTGAGGGATTATTAAAATCACTTTCACGTCCAGCATCTTCACCACCATCCTGCTCACAGCAGTGTTCTGCAGAAGCTGTCACTGCAGGCCCTGTCCCGTGTGTCATGTGTCACACGCGTTTAACCCCCATTTTACTAGTGAGGAAACCTAGGGAATTTGCCTTTGGCCTTGAGTTGATAGCGGCAACTGGTTTTGAACCCAAACACCTGACTCAGAAATCCAAGTTCTTAAGTCCTTAACCATTTTGACAAGTCACGCATCAGAATCACCTTGGCATTTCATGTTGAAAGTGCCTCTCTGCAGACTTTACACCATAAGATTCCAACTGGGTGGGCCTGGGCTAGGGCCTTGGAGCCCAAGTGGTCACAGGCACTGGGGCGATTGTGATGAAACCTGAGCTGCACTGTGGGCCACATGCTTGACCCTGCTCTGCCCTTCTCACTAGATCAGTGGAGTTCCTTCTAAAAGGACACTGATCATGCTGGTCCATGAGGCCAGGTAACTCTTCTTAGACAACAGCAAGATTTAAAAAAAAAAAAGAGCCCCCCCCCATGTTTATTGCTGCTTTGTTACAATAGGAAAGACATGGAATCAACCCAAATGCCCAAAAGTAGATGACTGGATTAAAAAAGATGCCATACATATACACAATGGAATATTACTCAGCAATCAAAAAGATAAATGCATGCCTTTTGCAGCAACATGGATGGAGCTGAAAGGGATCATGCTTAGTGAAAATACTGGATGGTTTCACTCATAGCAGGAGCATAAAGGATCGGGGGGAAATAATAATAATAATCAACAACTATATACCAGAGATACTTTATGGGGGTGGAGTGGGAAATGGGATCAAAAATGGGGGAGAGAAGGCAGTGCACAGGAATATAATGATGATGGCACACGGGTAAATTGGTGATGGGAAGCCTGTGGAGATTGCAGCACAAAATGATGTTAAAAAATAAGCTATAATAATAATAATAATAATAATAATAATAATAATAATAAAGAAAAGAGTCCCAGACAGAGGGAGAGAGCCCTAAATCCTGGTGTTGACTCTACATAACCCCTTACAGCTGTGGCCAGCTGTGAGACATTTCAGCCTCGACTCTGGCTACCATTTTATCAGCTCGGGCGGGGTTAGGTGGGCAGCCAGAAACCTGGGAGAGAGTACCACAACACGGTCCTTCCACTGCCCAATGAGTCAGTTATGGAGCTGCTACTGTGTGTCAGGCGCTGCGTCCCTGTCTGTGTGGAGAGAGCGCTCACCACCTGGCAAGGAAGAGGTCAGAGGGGGACAAAGTAGGTGCGATTTGGAATCCTTAAACTCAACTCGTGCCCTTGGGCTCATAATTCTCTGAACTAAAGAAATGGCCAGCCTAGAGAGGAGTATCAGGCAGATTCCCCTGAGCCCTGGCAACGTGAAGAGCATTTGTTCATTTTGTTTTCCCCAGTAAATACCGCTTGAGGGCCTACTGTGTGCGGGCTGCTCTTCTAGGCACAGGCTTTAAAAAAATAGGCAAAGTGCCTGTATCCGAGGGAGGCAGCAGGCAAACACACACACACATGGCCTCTGCCTGTGTTATAGGAACATTAAAGCCAGGTCGGGAGACGGATGTGGGGCAAGGAGGAGGGAGGAGCAGTGGTCAGGAGGACAGAAAGCTCGCACCACGCCCCCATCCACGGGCTTGCGTGGAGCGTCCCTCAGCGTCAGTCCTGTCTCTGGTGCTCTCTGCACAGAGCTCCTGGCAGCGATAACTGGTGGCCGAGTTGGTGGAGGCCCTCATCCCACCCTCCCCAGACTGACAGTGACTTGGGCCAGCGTGCCTCTTCACCTGAAATCCGCTTCTCCGGTAAGCACCACTCAGGCGGCAGGATTGCCAGGGTCATGGAAAAGCGCAGCCAGCCGCCAGCCCAGCTCTGCCCGGGCTTCTGCTCTGGAGCACCCTAAGAGGCACAGGCTAGGGCTTCTCAAACTTAGATATGCACAAGGGTGGCCAGGGGTGCTGGTTTGAAAATGGAAGTCTCCCAGCCCCACTACAGTACGTGATGCTTTCCAGGAACTTCACATTCTCAACTGGCACCAGGTAGATGTTACTGGGCAGTTGGTCCACAACGCCCTTTGACAAAAACCAGCCTCGTCCAAGAGGGTAGTCAACTGCAGCCATGCGTGGAATTTCTCCCTGAACTCCCTGCTGCCCAGCCCATGTTCTGAGCTGCTGTTGACCAGAGAGTGGTTTTGCCCTTCAGCTATGCTGGACCCATAGTCCTGATTGGATTTAGAAAGTGGATTGCAATAATCCTCTTTATTACCTATTTTTCTTCAACAAGTCAGTGACTGTCCTGCTGCCTCCCTGTCTGGCGAGGTCCCCTGAGTACCTGTGGGAACCACAAGATGCATCATGGGCACAGATGTGCTTGGCACTGCTGGTCCCAGGGCCCAGCCCAATCACTGGCCCAGACTTTGCCTTTGACAGGTGCCCTTCCCTTGCTTGTGACAGGATGAAGAAATGGTTTGGGAAGAGATAATTAATTGCCTCACTCTTCCAGGGTGGAAGAAAGTCAGGATGTCTGCTCAGAAAGTCTCCCAATTCCACCCAAGGTGGTGCAGGCAGGGGAGGAGAGCAACAGGGAGCAGTGGGCCACATCCCAGACTCTATGTGGGCTCTTGGCACAGATCACTACCAGTCCGGAGGGCAGACCTTCACGGTGGACCAACTCCCATTTCACAAATAAGGAAGCTGGGGCTCGAGGCTGCTCTTAACGAGGACTTCAGGCACAGGAGGAAATCACCGGAGCTGCCCTACTCCACGGCCTGCTCTCGGTTTCTCACTCCTGGCTTTTTCCCACTTTCTGGAACCCTGACGACTCCAGATCAAATACTGTACTCAGGTTTGTTACTTTGCTGTCATCTGCTGCAAACCAGGGCTGCACCTGGTGACCTGTGTCCTGGCTGCCTGCAGTAATGGCATCTTCTCATTTGGATTTGGTTTTGCTCTTTCTCCTTCTTGTCTGGGCAAGTGACTATTCAGAGGTGGTTTTGATTATTCAGAGAGCACCACACTGCGACCCAGTGGGTTGTAATTGGTAAAGTGTCTGAACCAAATACCATATTCACTGCCGGTGGCTGATTAAAGGGTTATTGCCATTGTAAAAATACTTTTTTCAGAATTCAGGGTTATTTTTTACCATTTAAGAAATTACTATTTTGGTTCTGTCTGGAGAGAGTTTTCCATCTGGTATTCTGTGGAGTTTCCGCTGGAGCCTATTAGGGGGAAGACTCGTTACGGTATTCTATAAGTGACATTTCTCAATCAGGGCCATATATGATTGATCGTATGTAACTGAGGTGCATTCCAAGACGTTGTTGTCAGATTCTCTTAACTGTTCTGCAGTTTTCTCCCTGTAAAATCGCCCTTCTCCATCCCACGTACTCTCTCTCTCATCCCTCAGAAAATACTCTGAGTGGCGTTGGAATTGTGTAATCTCTCTTCTTAGTTTGGGAGAAGTTGTCTTTAAAAGAGGCAAGGAAAAAGGGGGAAAAAAACGCAGCCTGGCTTTAGAGGGCCCTTAATTTCCTTCATTTAACTTAGTCTAAAGATCAGAGATTCTGAGCAGCCCCCGAGCGACTTCGTTCAGGCTGTAATAAGATGAGCACACCTTTCATCTGAGGATGGGAAGTGGCTTAACAGGCTCTAATTAAGCCTTCGGGAGAGGGAGGGCTGACATGGGGGCTTGACATCCTAGCTAAAGATGCAGATCTCAACTGTTCCGTTGGCTCACTGTGCACCACGAGGGATGGGGAGGCACCTCAACTTTCTTCTGAGGGGTAACAGATGCTCCTCCTTCAGTGTTTGGCCTGGCTAAAGCCAAGGATTATGGAAACTGGATTTGCATGGCTTCTCTTCTGCTTGCTTACAGTTAGAGTAAAAGCTGGCTGCACTGACATGATGATCACCCTGTGCTGGGTGGTACACATATAGCTTTTCTCCTCTTTTTATCAACCATGTATAAAAGCTCTCCTGTCCATCTTGCAGGTGAGACAGAGTTAAATAGTGTGTTCACATCCATCCAGTTAGTATATTCCAGAGCTAAGAACAGGGTCTAGCTGTCTTTAAGGAACATGGTCTTCCCAATCTGTGCTATAGCCCTGGAATACGT